AAGATGCCATCAGAGCTTACCTCCAAAACCAAATGTAATGAGTTTGCAGAGTTTTTTAATGACAAAGTCCAAGGCATCAAAAATGCCATCACCTCCACAGTAGAAATTACAATCCAACAGCCAGTGAAGCTTTTTGGGCTGACACACTTTACACCAGTACAAAATGAAACTCTCCAAATGATAATTACAAGTCTGAGTTCTTCTACATGTAGCCTGGATGTATTACCTCCTAGATTTCTTAAATCTGTTCTGAGCAGTCTTTTACCTTCACTCACGCATATAGTAAATATGTCTCTTGAATCTGGAACATTCCCAATGGCCCTGAAAACGGCAGTCATCAGACCCCTCCTAAAAAAGAGGAGTCTGGATGCCTTGGCACTTAAAAATTATCGGCCCATTTCAAATCTGCCTTTCATGGGTAAAATTCTAGAAAAAGTTGTCTATCAACAACTTACAGAATTTTTAATAATCAATCACTCTTTTGATATGTTCCAGTCTGGTTTTAGACCCCACCACAGCACAGAGACCGCTCTAGTGAAGGTAACAAATGACATCAGACTTAACACTGACGCAGGAAAAGTCTCAGTTCTTATCCTGTTAGATTTAAGTGCTGCTTTCGACACTGTCGATCATGGTATCCTCATTCAGAGACTTGAGGACTGGGTTGGTGTTTCTGGAACAGCCCTAAGCTGGTTTATATCCTACCTACAGGACAGAAAGTATTTTGTGGAGATCGGAAACTGTATCTCAGACCATCTGGCCCTAACCTGCGGAGTGCCACAGGGATCAATCCTGGGGCCTCTCCTGTTTAATATTTACATGCTGCCTCTGGGTAGGTTAATACACAGTAATAACGTGTCCTATCACAATTATGCTGACGATACTCAGGTCTATGTGTCCCTGACAGCAGGAGAACATGGACCAATGGACTCGCTCCTTCACTGTATCCAACAAATCAGTGATTGGATGCAAAATAACTTTCTCCAGCTAAACACAGAAAAAACTGAAAATTATTGTTTTCGGACCTCAAAAACAAAGAGAGAGCGTTATCTGCCACCTCCAGTCTCTCTCCCTAAAACCCTCAACTCAGGTCAGAAATCTAGGAGTAATAATGGACTCAGACTTAAATTTCAATAGCCACATATCATCTGTGACATCATCAGCTTACTTCCACCTAAGAAACATTGCTAAAATTAGGAACATTGTGTCTAAAGCAGACTTGGAGATTCTTATCCACGCATTTGTCTCCAGTCGATTGGACTACTGCAATGGCTTGTTCACAGGTCTCTCTAAACAAGCGGTAAAACAGCTGCAGTACATCCAAAATGCTGCAGCTCGAGTCCTGACTAGAACCAGGAAGTACGACCACATTAGTCCGGTCCTCAGGTCTCTGCACTGGCTTCCTGTGGCTCAGAGAATAGATTTTAAAGTAGCTTTACTTGTGTACAAGTCTCTCCATGGCCTCGCACCAGGGTACATCCGCGACATGTTGGTGCCATATGAACCAACTCGGGCTCTGAGGAGCACAGGGACTGGACTTCTGTTAGTGCCAAGAGTCGGAACTAGACATGGGGAGGCTGCGTTTCAGATTCATGCAGCTAGAGTCTGGAACCGTCTTCCCGAGAGTGTGAGACAGGCGTCTACTCTAGCAGTTTTTAAAACTGAACTGAAAACAGTTCTTTTTAGCTGTGCATACAAGTGAATGATTTTATATTTGTTTTTATCTTTAATCTTTTTAATGAGCTATGATTATTTATGATTATTTATGATTGTAATCCCTTGTGTGATTTTAATGTTTTACGGTTTTTAACTACTTGTGTGATTTTATATATCTTGTGCTCTTAATCTGTCTTTTTATGTTTACTTAAATTCTAATGTTTGATGATTTATGCATGATGTTATATGGGTTGTGAGGCGCTTTGCGTTGCCTTGTGTAGGAAAGGCGCTCTATAAATAAACGTTGATTGATTGATTGATTAAAGCTGGCGTACCAAAAATGTTTGCCACATAAGTGTCCTGACAAAAAGAGTCTTATAAAAGTAAATTCTTGTGAACAAAATCGACCACATCATCCTGCGTTCATCTTATTAGAAAACATGTTATCTGATCCTTTGGGCTGAGAGTTGAGTGAGGGTGGTCCCCTCTTTTTCACTGTCTGAAAAAGCTGATCTACAGATGTGTCACAAGCCACAAAAAACATTCACGTGAACCAAACAATTTTAGAGAAACTATAGTGACATGGATTTCATTATTTTGTGGTTCGAATGAGGACAGTGCATATCAAAGCTGGAATCTGTAACTTTAATTAAAAGTATAAACTAAACTAGTCTCTGTGGTAAAACCAGAGCTACAACGAGAGGGATTATGCTACAAGGAACTACAGGGAAATCTGACTGAAGAAAAGTAGCTGCTCTACTGAAGACGAGACTTCAATTGAAACTTACATCGTCAAAACTCCAACGAACTCGCTGAGAAAATAGTAAAAAATGTTACAGGTGTGTACACTCAAAAACAAAAAGCGATTTCTTCAAAAGAGCATTAGGAAAGTTTTTTATGTTTAATAAAAGTATAACATTTGTATACGTTCTGTTTAGCTGAACTTTTAGTGACTCAGGGGCTGTTCGAGTGGGCATCATTGGCCTTTTACACGCCCTGCTAGGGCATGCCGTCCCATGGCCAAACTAAAGCATGTTCAATAAGTGCTCAGCACAACCTTTGGAAACAAGTAGTGTAAATAATCAAGGATTCTTGAAGTACATATCATTGAATGCAGAATAAGTGTCATTATGGCCTGATAATTTTTTTTCTGACAAGATAGTCGTTACCATTTGGACAAAACAGCATTATTCACTTAGTTTTAGAGGTACACACCTGCTACAAGTCTGTAACAACAAGGCAGTAGCTCACCACCAGATTCAGATTCATTTATTTGCCACCAGTGATTACTTTAATGAAAAAGTTGGTCTCTGTCACTGGGACCAGGAAAGTCAGTGTCCAATCAGATTTTCTAGTGGTTTTGCACGCGGTAAAACAAGTTTTAGACCGGAAAAATTAAACTACTTTTAGGAAGGGGGTGATTCAAATTATTTTTTCAACAATGGAAATAAGAAAAAGTCCCAGAGTTTTTCTTTCTTTGATGTGCACGTCAGAAACGAAAATCGAAGAAACGGAAGGTACATGGTCCCGTTATTTTAGCGGAATGTTGCAAAAATGCGTACCCGACACAGCTGAAGAAGCTTTTGATCACAGATCTACGTGATCTACAAGTGAATGTGTTCAGAGTCTGGCTTGAAAGTATTTTACACAAGGAGCTGAGAGGCCTGGTTCACACGGCAAGATAATTAGGCCGATTTTGGACCCGATTACCCCTACGACAATCGTAAGAACGCTCTGAATATCGTAATAAAAATCTGATGGATTTTCCTGCCGTGTGTGGTGTGTTAAGACTGCGCTCGTCGCTCGGAAGGACTTTGGGACTGCTCCGATCTCATTATCAGGGATATCCAACATGTTGGATTGTTTTGGCCCTATTTATCTCCCGAGGACAGACTAGCGGCGTGTCAGAAGACAAGCCGGCGAGGAAACACCGTAAAAAAAACAAAACAGTCAGCGGCATGGCGCACCAGAAAGTTCGGTGGACATCAGAGATGGAGGAACAACTAGTTGACCTCTGGCAAGACCGTGAATGTATGTATGACATGTCGTGTAAAGAATATCACCGAAATGACAAGGAGAGGAATTGGGCAGAAATTGCTGCTGCACAGGTAGTGTTGGCATAAGCCCTATTCGGACGGGAATAGTGCATTAAATGATCAGACTGATGGGTTGTGTTTGTACGTTTACTTTGCACTCTGTCCTAATACAGTACAGACGTGTTGATGCAGCAGTTACTGCAGCCGTGCTTGTTGGTTTGCGCGTATGTAAAGTTTAATGTCTAGCAATGTGTGTGATGCGTTCACAGGTAGTCCGTACAAACTGTATTGTTGAACAGCACAGAGAACAGGGCCAGAGAACTGTAGAGCAGTAAAATCCACATGTATGTGGTCAGACGAGAGTCTCTATAGGCTGCATGAAGCGGAGGCCCGCACACTGTGTTTACTCTAAAGTCACGCTTGATCTCGAGAGATATTGTGAGATTTCTGGTGACCTGTGAATGCTCGGGGGTGAAATCGGTTCGTGTGTGATGTGTGTGGTCGTTTGCGTAATTTTGCCGTGTGGTTACACACCACACACTGTACGACCAAAGTGGTTAGACCCGTGATTTTTTATCTCCGTGTGTGGGGTCTCTCACGGACAAAAAATTGGCCGACAATTTTAATATCGTCTCGTGTGAACCAGGCTTTAGGAGACAGCACCTGGCTGAAAAGTTAGTGCGCATTGATAGACAATAATAAATACAGTTAAATTATATTATGTGTATATGATGTATATAAATATAAGATGTATTTTTAAATTTGTTTACTTAGTTTCTTTTGTTTTACATATTTTAAAGCAGTAAAAATGAAGCAAACCCACCCTCACTGCAGACAAACTGCTTCAGAAAGGGCATCAGGAATAGTGTTTTTTGCACTTATGATATATTTTTGTAAAAAGTATTATATTTACAAGTTCACTTTTTTCCCCCCATTATTCCCAAGACCCTAATAACATTTCTATGCAGTCTAAAAAGTTGTTTATATCATTTCATTGTGTTTTACCAGTACATTTTTGTGAAATTGATTTTCTGTTTCATTTTTTTCTTTGTCTTCATGATACCATAACTTTTATTTAATTCATATGACAACTGTACAGTATGAATATTATAAAAGCCCAGGTTGTACTGTAAAAACAAAGTATACTACTTGACTGCATCACAAGATGACTGTTTTGTGAGCAATTATACACACAAAAAAACATGTAGACCTAGAAGGGTTAAATGTTTTTCTGTCTTTAGGACCGCTTTAAAAACCACAGATTGAGAGTCTGAATATAGAAATATGGAAAAGATTATGCGTCCTCACCTCTTTCTCGCGGTCAGACTTTGAGAGCCTCATCTGCCGCAGCATCTGGGACCTCTGCTCCATCATCAGTGTGCGCTCATATGTGTACGCACTTATGTCGCTGTCGTGCTAAAGGGATTCACACACAAACATGGGTAACCAGCCACAGGTTTCCTCTTTCTCATGTACTTAAAGAGTGACTTTTACCATCTCCACCACCTCCACTTCGGCCTCGATGCGCAGGTGGTACAGGAACGTTGCCAGGTCTTTGTTCATCTGGATAGAGTTGTCCTCCATCTGAGCCACAGTGAAGATCCTCATGCCGCATTTCCTCCACACCTGATGAAAAAGGCTGCGCTCACACTCACTGGTAACAAGCATTAGTTCAGTTTACCATGGGTTTACTGTGCCAGTCGCTCTGCATGCATGTACAGTATGTGTGTGTAACAGTGCAGTGAAAAAATTGATGTGTGTAGATAGATTCAGATCTAGAAAAAAACTATTTCTGGATTGAGGAGGCTATTGAAATCAGAAAGCGGGGCAACAACAGGATCAAACTAGTTGAGGGTGCCTTCCTCCTGTCATACAAATGGGACACCCTTCTCCAGAGACCACTGGGAGAGAGGGGGCGTGGTCTGTCTAAGCGATCAACAAGGTCAATCAGCAAGAACACACCTACTCGGGCACACCAAGGCGGGTGAAAGTCCTGAAAATGGCTCGCAACTGTGTAGCCAAAACATTAACAAGGTAAAACATTTAACCTGTCTTTCAAAGGATCCATCTAAAGATTGTCTATTGAGAGTGAGGAGTTGTCGTCATAGCACAGAGCCCCTCCCCGTCTCCGCCATGATGGTAGGAACCCAGCGGCAAACAGTTGTTGTTAACTCGGTAGCAAAGGAGGTCATCGCTATTTCTGTTTTACCATGCCTGGAGCTCATTGCTGTGTGAAAAACTGCTCCAGTACCTCACACAATAAGAAAGGAAAACGTAGGAACAACGGTTTACAATTTTTTAGGCCACCAAAATGGATACATCATCAGGGAGCGCAAGTGTCTGACCTGACGAAGAGACGCCGGATGGCTTGGTTGGCTGCAATAAGAAGAAAGGACCTTACTTTCGATCTCACCCCCAGTCGATGAGAGTGTGTTCTCTGCATTTTCACTCGGGTACGTCCTAAAATGTCTTTATGTTGTTTTTTTAAAGTTAAGAAGTGTAGGTTACCTAGCTGTTAATGTTGCAAACACTGAAGTGCATCTTAAGTTAGCTGCCTAGCTAACTATCTAACAAACTGTTGCCTCTATGAAAATGCTTAATGGCCAACCATTAATGTTAACTAAGAATATTTAAGTTTCTGCTCATTATCCTACCTTGTTGGTGGAATATGGGCACTCAAAGTGCGTTTGTCTCTGTCTCTTATGTTCTCTAAACCAGTGGTGCCCAAACCTTTTTTTTGTCTTGTGTTGCCACTACCCCCTGAGCCCTTTTATGAAACCATGAATAGTGTTACCTTCTTGTTTAATATTTCTTTAGATTCCAGATTGTTTAATAATCTTATTCATCTGATGTAAGTAAACCATTATATGAGATTGCTAAAAATAGTTGAGATTCTGTTCATGACATTATGCTACCTTGTTGCCAGTTTAAAGCATTGACTACATAGATTATTCTGTTCTAGGTAAACCATCATATGAGATGTTGGAGAATCACCCTGACTGGACACCATCCTTGCGGTTAGGCCACAATAATGTTAAAGAAACAGATGGAGCGCGATATCAGCGGCAAGTAAAGCGCAGGACCCAGCATATGGAGCAGTCATCACTCCCAGCCCAAGCCCAGCAGCCTCCATCGCCAGCCCAAGCGCAGCAGCCCCCATCGCCAGCCCAAGCCCAGCAGCCTCCATCGCCAGCCCAAGCCCAGCAGCCCCCATCGCCAGCCCAAGCCCAGCAGCCTCCATCGCCAGCCCAAGCCCAGCAGCCTCCATCGCCAGCCCAAGCCCAGCAGCCCCCATCGCCGGCCCAGCAGCTGCCTCAAGGAAGGATGAGGAAGCTCTCACCCGTCCAGCTTGTCCTATTGACTCTAATGCGCCTCAGATTAGACCTTCCATCTCAGAATTCACGTTGAGAGGGTGATTGGTGTTGTGCGCAACAAATTCCAATTCTTACATTCAACTGTACCTGTGCATATGCTTCTCAAATGTGAGGGTGAAAACCTAATGCCTTTAGATAAGATTGTCACTGTTTGCTGTGCCTTAACGAACATGTGCAAAAGTGTTGTTTGAGTGCCTTGTTCATAACTTATGAACCAACCAGAACCCCTCATGTCATCTGGATCCGAGTCCAGAGTCAGAACCAGACACGGAGAAGCTGCATTCAGCTTCTATGCTCCACATGTCTGGAACAAACTCCCAGAAAGCCTCAGATCAGCTGAAACACTCAGTTTGTTTACATCCAGGTTAAAGACCCACCTGTTCTCAGCTGCTTTTGAATATTTTTTATTCTAATGTACAAATCTGCACGGCTTCTTTTAAGCTGGAATTACTTGTCTGTTATCTTTTTCTTATGAATTTTTGTTTTTAATTTTAAATCATGCTTTTTATTCTGTTACTTTTTAATGCTTCTGCACCCAGCTGTAATGCTTCTTAATTTTTAATTTAAAGTACTTTGAATTGTTTTGTAACATGAATTGTGCTGTACAAATAAACTTGCCTTGCCTTTTTAATTTCTTTGAAATAAATGTTTGAAACAACTTCATGTGGCAAAGCAATATTTATTGAGAAATTAAATTTTTTTTGGAGGGGGGTGTAATCTCTTGGAAAAGTTAACAGTGCAAAAGAACGTGTGCAGTCAACGTATAAATATTTCAGCATGAAAAGACGGACAACATAATAATAAAATAGTAACACTGCTGATAGTGCAAAAGAACCAAACATACCAACAAAAAAACACTATTTGGCTCAGGAAAAGAACGTGTGCATTAAAAGTATAAATATTTCCAGCAAGTAAACATAAACAACATAAGTAATAATAATACTGTTATTAGTGCAAAAGAACAAACAACATCCAAACAATAAAAAAATGGGGTTTTTTTTGTATGTTTTTTGTTCTTTTGCACTAATTATAGTATTTCATTATTATGTTGTTTATGTTTACATGCTGGAAATATTTATACTTTGAATGCACACGTTCTTTTCTTAAGCCGAATAGTGCCACTATTCAGCTTAAGAAAAGAACGTGTGCTGTCAACGTATAAATATTTCAGCATGAAAAGATGGACAACATAATAAAATAGTAATACTGCTGTTAGTGCAAGTACAACAGTGTTTTCACCGCCTGGAGGCTTGTAGATGCCCAAGTCCTGCACCCAACCACAGCAGAAAGCCTCGTAACTCTCCAGTGACTTCTAAACTCCTGCATTGTATAATAACTAACACCGAAAACAAGGTAATTCACTATATCCATGTACGTGCACGGAGGCAAAAAGTCAAGGTATTTTTGCCACTCCGCTGCAGGAAGCTCGTATGGGTCTACCTGTTGTATGTCTGAGAGCTTCTCCAAATAACGTTGTTTTGCTTTTCCCTGTACGGTCCATTTCCTTTCGCCTTCACTTTCTCCATTAACTGTCTTGCTAGTGTTGTAATCATAGATATATCTACTGCCGAAATAATAAACGCGCTCAAGTTAAAGACCTCTGGAGCGTTAGCATAGACTGTATATATTGAGCGTTAGTGGCGTTGCCCCTGGCAACCGATAGAGGATCCTATCAACATGGCCAACCGGATTAGACCCCGCCCAAATTATCACGTGACTCCTCATTCTCAATAGGGTTCAGATCTGTGGACTTGTTAAGTCATTCCTAGTTTGTCTCTCATAGTTAAGGTATACCATTGTTGAAAAACGTAAGGCATCTATCATCGCAAGAGGGAGAACTTTCGCAATTGGTGGCTAATTAAATCCTTTTTTCCTTTTTTTAAATGCTTTTTGTCTGTTACTACCCCTACCAGTAGCCTGGCCAAAGCCATCCGTACACTCCGCTCAATCATCATTTCACTGCATGTAGCGTCTGGGTCTGGTCCCCATGTTAGCGATTACAATCGGTCGTATTTCGACCGGCTACTCAGAGCGCGTTGTAGGTCGGTGCCGGTGACGTCAAGAGTTTGCGCCGAACGGGCAGGTTGTTGTTTGGTAATGGCGAAGAATGCGATAGTAAAGTAATCCGGTCTGGTTCTATCAAGAAATTGAAGCAGGAGCAAGAGGAATGTTTAGCAAATGTAATTGCTGGTGTTGTATCATAAATATAGACTAAAAGCAGATGTGAATTTGATTGACCCGGAATTGAACTGTCTTTTTCCAAGCCAAAAAAGACCTTGTATTGCTCTTCTCCCCTTGTCCCATTTTTGTCCAAAGTGCAGGGTAAGTTAATGATAGTTAATCTCAGGCCAAGGGGGATCTGCAGTCCTAGATTCTGCTAATCTTTTTCGTTGTTTGGAGAAGGAGATGGACCCAGAATCTGGAGGGACAGCCTTGAGAGTCTCCTGTCTTATCTCAAGGAAGTAATATTTCTATAGAATTAGGGAGGGGTAGTGTGTGTGAATGATTTCTGTTTAGGTCTGGCGAGACGGAGGAGGCCAGATGGTGCGAGGTGGATCTCAGATCGGAAGCTGCCTGATACGACACGCCCCCTTCTTCCTGGACATCTGCTGATATGCTCTGGCTTGAGGCGGGGGCTGAGAGTCAGCACAGGGCCAGAGAGGGACATGGATAGTTTTAGGAGCTCTCTTGTTGAATGTATCTGATTGTAACGATAAATTAAATACAGATGTTAAACTTGGAGATCTTTTGCCTTACTTCTGCATCAACTTCGAACACGTCCGTCAGGGGAATTTTTGACAACACTGGTCAAGATTGTGGCGCTACTCCCCACGGGCTCTGTTAGCAGCAAAGGAGATGGCTAGGCTAAATGCCAATGCTAACAACACACTCGGGCCCATTACATACGTCACGGTAAACTCAGATCCAATCGTTTCAATCTGCAAAAGGAGTTAACCCCTCCCACTTGTTAACGGAGCACAATGGAGCACCTCCAGACCTTAGTATGAAATGTAATTTGTACTAAGGTGTGGTACAACCAGACTACCCCTACCAGTAGAGTTGATTCTGTTTAATACCAAAAATCTGCAAACCAGTGGGGGCGGGTTCCGGCTAAAAAATTTCCAAAATAACGTGTGCTGACATGCTTGCTGACCAAAAGCGTTTGGTTGAAACGCGTAGGCAGTCCATTTTAATAAAATACTTTTATTTTTTCACTACATCAGAGTACCTCAGACTTCTTTTTCTCTTTTTGACAACCCTAAATCTGCAGATTGCCCTGTCTTTGAAGAGGACCTGTGTGTTAAGCCCTCTACCACTTGTACCCTCTGCAGCACTCACCTTCCTTGCTTTAAACTAAATTATATATATATATGTATATAAACAAAATATACATACATGTACATATATGTACATAAGTAAGTGGCTTTAAAAAGGCCAGTAAAGTGGAATTATTGAGGGCAGTAAAGGGCGGGGGGACAGGTTATGAAGTGTTCGTGAGTCCAAATGAAAAGGGGAAGAAACTGTTCTTTTGGTTGGAGGTTCTGGTCTGTCGCTTCTGTCATCACTGCGTGTGGAGAGAATGGAATAATTATCTGAACAATTGTAAAGCACTTTGGGTGACCTTGGTCTGTAAAATGCGCTATATAAATTAACCTTTCTTACTTACTATTTTAGTATGTGGTGTGTACTCCTAATTCTGTAACTGGGGATGCAACACTGAAATTTCCCCACTGAGGGCCAAATAAAGGATCTCTAAATACAATTACAAGATTTAGATAGCTTTTAGACCGAAGGGGTGGGGTTAATTTTTTGTAAGCTTGGAAAGTCAATTTTCATAACGCGTCTACTTTAAAGTTGTCATTACTGTCCATGTCCTGTCTGCTGTGCGTACCTTGTGTTGTCGAAGCAGAAAGGGCAGCAGCATCAGCATCCCTCCGTCGTGAACGATCCACCACACATCGATGTAGCCCTCCGCACACGGCTCGCTGTTACTGGGGAAGAGTGAGATGTTTTTGGGTACAAGGAGAGCGAGGTGAGCTGCCGTCGTCACCCGCACCGTGTCTGGAAGAATACAGGGGTTCGTTGTTAGTGAGCTGCACTTAAACAGTAAGCCCTTCAACAGCTTTAAACTGAAAGTGGACTATAAGCAGAAATCTACCTTCTGTCGCTCAGTAAAGGGGATGGAACTCAATTTTAATCATATTATTTTGGATCAGTAGTTTGCGTTCATGCAACATCACCACATTCCAAAGAGCCTATAGTTTCACATAGTGGTGGATGGCAGCTAAAACTATAGTTAGTAACTATGGTAACTGGTAACTATTGTAAACATAAAAAGTCAGATTCTACTTAGTTACGAGCCAATTTCTCAAACCACATGCAACAAAAACACATTTCCACATCTTTGTCAGTAGAAATCAACTATGGTCTAGAAAGGACCAATAGAATCAGTCACTAGGACTGTAAGATTTTTTTGAAAGTTGGTGGTTGAAATTTATTTTGAAATACTTGCTCCATGGAAATCAAGCGTACATCGGATGTATGCTTAAAATCTGCTCCAAGTGGGCCGTTTTCATGGAAATACAGGTGGCTATATTTCTCTGCCACGTGAAGTCTGACACCGCCTGCAGCTGAGGAACTGGGAAGTGCACGCAGAAGCTCTGTATGCTTATGCAGGCTGTGTCACTTCTGAGTGTGCCTCAGAATGCAGCCCTGAATTTGGACACAGCATTAAAACTCACCTAACAAGGTCTTTGCTCTCAACAGTTTGGTTCCATCACTAGTTTCTATATGCATGTATTTTTGGCCTCTGTCAAATCAGCTTTTTCAGCCAGAAAAGTGAAAAGAAGTTCAATTGATTGAGACAGTCTAAATCTGGAGCTTGTTCAGACTCACTGATGAAGGTCTTCCAGGATTGCGGATCCTCGCTCTGTCTCCAGGCGTGCGGCCAGCCCATCACCACCGTGTTGGGCCTCATCCCCCCCAAACCACTGGACTGGATCATGTAACTGATGCCATCGCGTGGTTTCTGTGCCACAATGCACTGGACGAAGCCCTTTACCCGCTCCTTCTCCATCAGGTGCTTCAAGGTCTGGCAAAAACAATAAACACACTTTTTTAATAATAATAATAATGATAATAATTAATTGGTTTTAAATAGGTCTTTTCAGGTTTACTTTCACTCCATGCACAGTGGTGATAAACTGCTGTAGCCACAGCTGCCCTAGGACACACTGACAGAAGCGAGGCAACCAGTCTGTGCCGTTGACCCCTTTGACCACCACCAACCATTCACATACACACAGCAGACTGATTTTAGGCAATGTGGGTGAAGTGTCTTGCCTAAGGACACAACAACAGTTGGGCACTATACAGCTGCCCGCCTGCTGTGAGACGCATGCTGCTACTTCTACAATGGCCCCAAACTCTCTCGTCTAACATAGCCAGTTTTATAAGACAAAGGCTCCTCCATCGTCCACTGTCCTTGGGGAGGCACAACTAGCAGAGGCTAGAAGTAGCGTCGGGCCCCAACGTTACCATGCCTTGACGCTACTTCCAGGCTTGTTCTCCTAAACAGTTTGTGCTCCTAAACAGTTTGGACTACACTTGCACGCTGCTCTGCAGCCACACTCGCTTTATGATTTCCGCACCAATTCAATGTGCTCTTGCTTAAATATCTTGAACCCAAACGTGATTTGGGTTCTGCCAATTAGTGGCAGGGTTGACACAATTGACCATTTTAAATGGTACCGCATCTTGTCGACAGCCGTGGTGGCTATAGGTAATTTGCTTTCATTTAATTCTTTTGACCCTTTCATACGGAGTTGCACCTGCTCCGCGGCCAGCGCCTCCCCATAGCTGTGGAGAAAGTTCCCCCCGACCACAGTCCCCACGATGGTCAGGCCCTTCCCGGCTTTGAGCTGACTGGCAAATGTCAACAAGCGAGGGGACTTCACGTGAGCGTCTTCATCCAGCTTCAGCAGTACCAGGATCTGAGGCCTGGGAAGAAAACAAGATCGTGTTCATGAAACCTTTATGAGAAAATACCTAGAACAAAGATATTCAACTGGGTCATCAAAGGGCCAAGTGGCTGGTCTGCTCCTGCTTGGTTGGAGCAGCCTTTTCCATCTGAGGAGGCTGCGGTCCTTCGGAGTGAGCAGCCCTCTGCTCAGGACTTTTTATGATTCTGTGGTAGCCTCTGCCATACACTACGCTGCCGTGTGCTGGGCCCCGGGCAGCACAGAGCAGGACAGGAGTAGACTCAACAAGCTGGTGGGGAGGGCCAGCTCCACTCTGGGCTGCCCCCTGGACTCTGTGGAGGTGAGGGACAAGAGGGTGCTTGTCAAAGTCACCTCCATCATGGAAAACACCTCCCACCCACTGCACAGGACTGTAGAGGGGCTGGGGAGCTCTCTCAGTGGAAGACTGAGACACCCTCAGTGCAAGAAGGAGTGCTACCGCAGGGCCTTTATCCCCACCACTTTCAGACTGTACAAACTGACAACTGTCCTTGCACTAGGACTGAAAAAAAAGAAAAACCCTGCAAAAAAACCTTTTGCCACTTTTTCTTAATTGCTACTTTTATTGTACATAATATATTGTGCATTTAACATGTTTACACACTTCTTTCTTTTTCTTCTTGAGTGATTATATCCATGCCAGATGTGACATGTCAATTTCTCCTGTGTGAGATCAATAAAGTCCATCTTATCTTAACTCATTGACTGCCAGCCGTTTTCGATGATTTCACTGATTTTCAAGACCCACAGCATATTGTGTGCTATGACAATGTGAAATATAAAACCAGATTCTGAAAGTCTGGACTGTCTACTTTCATCAGCAAAAATAAGTTTGTTTCTAGCTAGTTTTGTTCTCCTGTAATCCCCAGTCGAATAGAGGTAAGTTTGACGGAAATCACCAGACAAATACACCAATGGCAGTCAATGAGTTAATACTTGCAGCCACACCAGTCCTTTGAGGACCTGATTACCCCTGATCTAGACTGGCAAACGATAGGTGGGTTCAGGAGAAAATACCTACCCATAAAACAAAAAATATAATCTGATCTAGCGTGCAAATATAGCATGATATACATATTTTTAAAGATAAATGTATCACTATAAATCATAAACATTGAACTCTGAACACAGTTGGACCCAGACCAGGACCAGACAGAGACCAAGACTAGATTCAAACCATTCGCGAGATGTCCCGATTTCGATTTTGTGCCTCTGATTGTTAAACTTCAAATCCTATCCTGAGTCCCTATCGAATGCTTTTTATCATTGGTATTGTATATTATAAAACACATCTTTTAACAAGTAAACAATATTTTTTGTGTATTGAACCCAACAAGGAATTGTCTCAAATGATTTTTTATTTTTTTATTTTAAGTATTATTTACCATTAAAGTGATTGTCTGGAGTTTGCCAGAAAAGAGAGCGGTACAAAAACGACCCAAGCTCCCTCCTCCTTCCTTTCTGATTGGTCTACACCTTCTTTTCCGTAACAATCAACACAATTAAATGTTAATCAGAGAACACATTATACATATACATTATTGATACACATGCATAGAGGTTTTCAGAATTATCTGTTTTCATGACAAAAATAATGATTTTAATGGGGAAAAAAAGCGATCGTGGTAAATCCGAAAGTAACTTAACATTGATTGAACATTTTTGGACACATCTGCAGATGATCTGATTATGGATACAGGTTCAGTATATAAATGGGTAATGGGTAATTAATTATATATATAAAAATTGTCCACTCACCTTTGGCCCTCCGCGGGCGGTTATCCCTCTCTAAGCTTGGGTCCTCTACCAGAGGCCTGGGAGCTTGAGGGTTCTGCGCAGTATCTTTGCTGTTCCTAGCACTGCACATTTCTGGACCGAGATGTCCGAGGTTGTTCCGGGGATCCGCTGTAACCACTCATCTAGCTTCGGGGTCACTGCCCCGAGTGCACCGATCACCACGGGCACTACTGTCACCTTTACCCTCCAGGCCCTCTCCAGCTCCTCTCTGAGACCTTGGTATTTCTCAAGCTTTTCATGTTCTTTTTTCCGGATGTTACCATCGCTTGGAATTGCCACGTCCACCACCACGGCTGTCCTCTGCCCTTTGTCTACCACCACAATGTCAGGTTGGTTCGCCATTACCATTCGGTCGGTCTGTATCTGGAAGTCCCACAGGATCTTCGCACGCTCATTCTCCACCACCTTTGGAGGAGTTTCCCACTTAGACCTCGGGGTTTCCAGCCCATACTCTGCACAGATGTTTCTGTACACTATGCCAGCCACTTGGTTATGGCGTTCCATGTAGGCCTTCCCTGCCAGCATCTTGCACCCTGCAGTTATGTGTTGGATCGTCTCAGGTGCCTCTTTGCACAACCGACACCTTGGGTCTTGTCTGGTGTGGTATATCTGGGCCTCTATCGCTCTGGTGCTCAGGGCCTGCTCCTGTGCAGCCATGATGAGTGCCTCTGTGCTGTCCTGTAGGCCAGCCCTTTCTAGCCATTGGTAGGACTTCTTGAGATCAGCCACTTCTGTTATGCTCCGGTGGTACATGCCGTGTAGGGGCTTGTTCTCCCATGATGGGCTCTCCTCCAGCACCTCCTCATCTCGCCACTGCCTGAGACATTCACTGAGTACGTCATCCGTTTTGGCCATCTCCATGATGTAGTTATGGAGTTTGGATGTTTCGTCCTGGACAGTGGCTCTCACACTCACTAGTCCTCGGCCTCCTTCTTTACGGCTTACGTACAGTCTCAAGGTTTATATATATATATATATATATATATATATATATATATATATATATATATATATATATATATATATATATATATATATATATATATATATATATATATATATAAATAAAATGGGCTACTGGAACAAAGCAAAAGTGTGCGAGATCCGATAACAGGGTTCTGTTGGAATGGTACTACTCGAGTAACCCTGGCCAAAGAGGTTACATGCAGAGAATGTGGGCTGAATGGTTACTTCGAAACCCACAGTCAGAGCTGACCCCGAAACAACTGGTAGCTCCAACATCCACAAACGGCAACTGCTATCACAGCTTGAGATCGATGCGGTACAACACATGTATGATGCCACAGTTGCCACAATTGCCAGGGTCAGAGGGGAGATGCCACCAACTCCAACTCCCCAACCAGATATTGGGTACATAGCCCCAATGCAACCGATACCGCTGAACGAGGCAGCGACTGACCTGAAAGCTAAGATCATGGCTAGAATGGGCACAGGGCAAAGACACCGGTTACAGCGGTTGTGTGAAGTACCACCTAAGGATCTCATAGAAAGCGTGAATGCAGCAGTGAGGGCAATACCTACCACCACAATCACTGAAACCAATGAGCTGATATACACTTCAGCAGCAGTGATCCTAGAGATGCTTGGCTATAAGAGCAACCATGGGAGCCATGGACAATACCCACCATGGAAAAGACTGTTGGAGGCTAAGATCAAGGCGGCTCGGAGAGAAGTGAGTCAATTAACAGAGGCCCAGAGAGGTGCAATGAAAAGACCAGTACCCAGAAAGTACAGCCAGATGACCATACCTGAAGCACTCGAAACTGCCAAACAAAGGCTCCAAGCCCTGGCCAGCCGCCTACAGAGGTACACTAAAGAGAATGAAGCCAGAAGAGTGAACAGACTGTTCGCAACACAACCTGCGAAGGTGTACGCTCAGTGGCAGGGTAACAACAGGGGAGCAGACCCACCGAGGCTGGTAACTGAACAGTTCTGGAAGAACATATGTGAGAAAGATGCAGCACATAACAGCAGTGCACAATGGCTGGTGTCCCTGAGAGAGGAGCACAGCCACCTCCCAGAACAGAACACAGTTACCATCACAGAGGCAGACATCCGAGAAACTCACATCACTCCATGAGCGCCTAGCAGCACAAATGAACCAGCTGCTGAGAGATGGGACTCACCCTGAATGGCTAACCAAAGGGCGAACGGACTTCAATTTACCAAGCTTTAAACATCTCAAGGAGCACTGTGCAAGCAATTATATTGAAGTGGAAGGAGTATCAGACCACTGTAAATCTACCAAAACCCGGCCGTCCCTCCAAACTTTCATCTCAAACGAGGAGAAGACTGATCAGAGATGCAGCCAAGAGGCCCATGATCACTCTGGATGAACTGCAGATAACTACAGCTGAGGTGGGAGAGTGTCCATAGGACAACAATCAGTCATGCACTGCACAAATCTGGCCTTTATGGAAGAGTGGCCATTTCTCAAAGATATCCATAAAAAGTCTCGTTTAAAGTTTGCCACAAGCCACCTGGGAGACACACCAAACATGTGGAAGAAGGTGCTCTGGTCAGATGAAACCAAAATCGAACTTTTTGGCCACAATGCAAAACGATATGTTTGGCGTAAAAGCAACACAGCTCATCACCCTGAACACACCATCCCCACCTCAGCTGTAGTTATCTGCAGTTCATCCAGAGTGATCATGGGCCTCTTGGCAGCATCTCTGATCAGTCTTCTCCTTGTTTGAGATGAAAGTTTGGAGGGACGGCCAGGTCTTGGTAGATTTGCAGTGGTCTGATACTCCTTCCATTTCAATATAATTGCTTGCACAGTGCTCCTTGAGATGTTTAAAGCTTGGGAAATCTTTTTGTATCCAAATGCGGCTTTAAACTTCTCCACAATAGTATCTCGGACCTGCCTGGTGTGTTCCTTTGTCTTCATGGTTCTCTCTGCGCTTTAAACAGAACCCTGAGACTATCAAAGAGCAGGTGCATTTATACGGAGACTTGATTACACACAGGTGCATTCTATTTATCATCATCAGTCATTTAGGACAACATTGGATCATTCAAAGATCCTCACTGAACTTCTGGAGTGAGTTTGCTGCACTGAAAGTAAAGGGGCCGAATAATATTGCACGCCCCACTTTTCAGTTTTTTATTTGTTAAAAAAGTTTAAATTATCCAACAAATTTGATTCCACTTCACAAT